GCACCGAATCTGGACCCCGCATTTGCGATGATGCCGTCCGTGTGCTTTTTGATTTCCTCGTGTGGTTTAAGGACTGTGCGACCCTCCAGGGGAATGTGATGTGTGCGCCAGTCTTAAGAGACTCGCTGTCCTTGCTCCGGGTCGGGCAGCCACGACAGGCTTCTCAGGGTGCGGGCAGCCAGAGGGCGAGGCAATGTGGCGAAATGCGAAGAGAAGAGGTGCGGCGGGCGAGTGCAGGCGTGTGGCGGCCGGCGGTATTCCTCGAGGCAGGCGAAATGCGTGCGCGGACTGAGGCGGTGGCAGGCCAATGAAGAGAACGGGGACCAGGTAGGTGTGTGGCGCTAGCGAGGTTAAGCTGAGCCGGAAAGGTGTCTGGGGAGGCGTGGACGACGGGTTCCACGGGGCAGGCGAGAGAGGTGCGGGGGAATTGGGCAGAGGTGGCTTGTGCTGGCGGGCGGAGCTGCTGTAGGACAGGCGCTTTCGTCTCGGGTGGAAGGAGGCAGGGTGGAGCGCCGCCAGGCATTTGGGGCTGCAGGGCCAAAAGGGGACAGCGGACTGCATGGGCCGGGAATCGAACCCGGGCCTCCAGCGTGGCAGGCGAGAATTCTACCACTGAACCACCCATGCGCTCGAGGCGGGTGCCAACAGAGTCTCCCACAGTGGCGCTGGCCACCAGCCGCCGGACGCTGGTCGCCGCCTGCCGTGGGCATCTGCTGCCTTTGAGCGCCCACGAGGGACCCGATGGGGCCGGGAGCCGACGGTCGACCGGTAGGAGAGGCTGAGATCACGTCCAGGGCGCCGGAGCGCGCGCGCGCGCTTAGGGAGAGGGGCGGGTACGAAGGGCCCTGCGCTTTCTCTGTCGCCCAGGGCGGCCGGACCGGCTGTCGGTGTCGCCAGAGGAAGCCGGGAGAGGGACCGGCCCCGGCCCGCGCCCGGACGCCAGGCGGGGCCCGCGAGGGTGGGTGGAAAGGACGGGATGTCGGGTGGCGTGCCTCTGGTTGCAGAAGTGCGCGGCTCGGAGAGCGTGTCGCTGTCCCCGCGGCAGGAGCTGGAGGGCGAAACGGGGCGGGGGGCTCTCCACAGCGGACAGAT